ATTATGATGATGCCGATGATTATTCAAGTATCATTATTATTACTACATCTATAATAATATCAATATTATTTTTTTACTATTACTATCATCATTGTTATTGACCGTATCAATACTACTAGTACTATCAATAACACTATTATCATTATGATTAATATCAATATTATTATTACTGTTACTAGTTCGTGCTTTCTTCCCAGTCCTGTCCCTCCACCCAGTCTACTTTTCCAACCTCTGATTTCAAGGTGACTGGCCTGGGCAATTACCGATAATTATTGTATTCCAGGATAATATATTAACTTCAGTGATATCTTTAATATCAGTTATTTGATTTTTTCGTATTTCTAGTAGCCCAATTTCATTTTAAAGTGTCCTCAAATATTTTTTTTCGTTTAATTCCTCGTCTCTCCTGATTTTTACTTCCCGGGTCCCGTTTCCAAAGCTATCGGAAGAGACATCAGCGGACGGATGTTAAGAAGGTCGAATTTGCCAAGGTCTGAGGGAGGGTCATTAACTGTTCATTTTGATGTCACTTCATGGCCAGGTGTTGGTAATAAATAATAAATAACTGTGGACTGATTATATGGACAAATTTGCATACGATTGAGGCCAGTTTCAAGTGCTTTCGGGTTGTAGGGATAGATGAGGATGGATAGTGAAAAGAAACAGAGGGATAATATGAGTGGAAGAAAGAGAAAGTGTGGAAGGAAATAGATATAAGAGCGAGGGAGACGTGTTTATGTAGTTTCTCATCCGGTCGGTTACATTTCTCACTCACGTGTCAGTTAGGGATCTCGTGTGTAAAGATTTTTTTCATGTTGGGGCGATAGTTTTCTTTATGCATTATGATATACTTTTCACATTATTTAATAAACGCATTAGCACAGGTTTCTATTGCAAGTAGTTAAATTTCTTTTGATATAATGGAATGTAACCAAACAAAAAGATGATTTATCATTCTGAATATAATTCCTTAGATAACAGAGATTGATACAGATTGTTTCAGATAGCTGCCAACATATCAATTTTCACAAACTTTCCTTTTAAGGGTACGAGTAGCATGATAAGCATAGGATGAATCATGTTTATGCGATAGAATTGTAAATTATTGATTAAAGGCTATCAGGGTAAAAAAACGAAAAATCTGTTCAGTATAGCTCATGCTAGCTAAACTAAATCTACTGATTTACTTTTGCTTCTTTAATATCGTGAATGTTACTAGCCCTTCTGGTTTGCTTTTTGTCCTGAAGTATTGCTGAATGTGTCAGTTTCGTAAAATCCTGTTTGTGTTATAAATATCTTGGTTAATTGATATTATTGTGCATGATATCCTGTTATGTATACATCTATCTCTGTGCGCATATAGATAGACAGCTAGAAAAGATGAATATATATGAACAAATGTATGCTAGAAAACAATGGAAATCTTAAACAACTGTAGAATGATATCTTAAGATGCCCATTACATATCACAGATTATCCAGCTACGTTTCACTATATCCACTTAAGGACGCCTTTCTGTTACCTATACGATGATACTTTAATTATAAATCTGATAGTAAAGTAATGTATCATCTTAAACGCCTGTTCACCCTGCCGTTGCAAGGTCAGTAACCACAGGTAGACAAGCATAAATATCTTGGAGAACACGCTGCCGGCCTTGTCTTTCCGTGTGTTGCAAGGATGTTGAAATCATTTAGTCTCTCTCTGTTTGTCTGTCTGTCTGTCCGTATAGTATGTCTCTCTTACACAGACACACACACACACACACACTAACACACGCTCTTTCTGTCTCGCCCTCTTTCTTTCTCTTTCTCTCTCACTCTCTCTGTGTCTCTGCCTCTGCCTCACTATGCCTCTTTCTCTGTCTGTCTGTTTGTCTCTCTCTCTCTCTCTCTCTCTCTCTCTCTCTCTCTCTCTCTCTCTCTCTCTCTCTCTCTCTCTCTCTCTCTCTCTCTCTATCTTCTCTCTCTCTCTCCTCTCTCTCTCTCTCTCTCTCTCTCTCTCTCTCTCTCTCTCTCTCTCTTCTCTCTCTCTCTCTCTCTCTCTCTCTCTCTCTCTCTGTTATCTGTCTGTCTGTTTTCTTTCCCCCTCTCCCCCTCCCCCCCTCTCTTTCTCTGTAGGATAACCTATTGTATAGTTTCTATAACAAAATCAGGGTGCTCTTGCTTCCTCTGCCTAGACAACAACAGCGCTTAGAAACCCACTGTCTCTCTATGGGATACCAATATCTATGTGATACCGTTTGTCGTATAACTGAAATGTCCAGATGTGTATAAACATTTTTTTTTCTATATTCTTTAACGTTTGGAGGATCAAACTTGGCGCGCAAAAATACCGTGAGACAGTGTGATTAAAATTACTCGGTATTTTTTTTTATCAAATTTATCTGATAATTGATAACTGGGTCGCTTTATCATTTACGAATCACAATATAGATTTTGTTAGAGCCTCTCGTACCATAGAATGAATTATTGTGAATTTGAACAAGTCGTTAGATTATGAAATTTGAATGAGCCGTTAAATTATGGAAGTTTATTTATGTTTTACTTGGTCTGTTCAGCGAAATGTTTCGATCGTGATTTTGAATTTGTCCTTAAATTATGGACGATTCGGTGTGTTTTATAGTTTCGATTCCATGAATGATTTTACTATGGAATCAAATCCAATGACAACATGAAGTCGGAATTTAATGTAGATCTAATCAATAAAATAAGAAATAACAAACCAGGTGCTTATGCTTTTTCACCTTTATATTTCTTTGTATATTTGACTTTCGTCCTTATTCGAAAAAGCGTGAAAAAAGACTTAGAAAACTGTCAGAATATGCAAATGCGTATTTATTCGTTTTTATTACTTTGTTTTGTGGATGCATGTTTTTCTTCTGTTTATTTTGAATTCATACGTATTTTGAGATATTTCTTTTATATGAAAATAACTTTAAAGACATTCTTAACTCTAATCATATCTAGCTATTTAGCTATCAACCTATACATATATATGAGTGTGTGTGTTTTTAATTCAAAGGTATTTTGATATATACCCTATATATGGAAATAACTTTAAAGACATTATCTCTAATTATATATTTATATCTATATCTATCTATCTATCTATAAGTGTGTGTGTTTGTGTGTGTGTGTGCGCGCGCGTGTATGTATATATATGATTATATATTTTATATATACATATATACACATGTGTATATATGAATAATATATATATATATATATATATATATATATATATATACACATCTATGCGTATTTTCTTCTTTTTTAATCACAGATTTCGTCCCGCAACATATGATTCGGAAATTTCGAAGTCGGATAATTCTTTGGAATAATCTCATTTATCATAAATCACTGGTTATGAACAATTTTTATGTAATTTATTTCCCTCCGACTCCGACAGACCATTTCTATGGGGACTTTATAACGAATATTCTTTTCCATCATGGCATTTTGTTTAAAGCCATACATAGCAACTGTCTAAGATGTTTTCCTGCTAAATAATGTACTCAGCATTCATAAATCAAGGATATATATATATATATATATATATATATATATATATATATATATATATATATATATATATATCCATCTTCCTCCTTTTCAACCATTTTTCAAATTCATTTTCTCCAATTTCATATTCAGTTCAATATAACATTTACTGTTAAACATTCTGGCACCATTTACAATGACCTTAAACATATCTTAAATCAATATATATTTCATTGTAGATCATCCAATACTCCAAATTCAATAGCAAATATAATCTTATAAATATTGAGTGAAAATATAACAACGTGACTCTATCGTTGAGCTGTGTCATAGGAACTCAAATCGTAACCCATCTGGCCACACCTATCAGTCATTATCGGACAGATAACATCTCAGTACTACCTACCTCAACTATCGGGTCACCATCCTCGAGTCCAGTTGAGATCCAAACACATCTCTATTATATAAAACAATTTACTTATATATCTCTTTTATATAAAGCTTAAACATTTCACATAGCAACAGGTTCACTCACTCTATTCCCCGGCCACTATCTCCCATTCATAAAAAAACAGTTCTAACTAAATTTTTTGCCTTTTGCCCTTCTAACCCCGCTGGCAAAATCGTCTAATTTTATCAAACAAACCACCTTATCTTCTTAAGCAAAATAACAACAACTGTCGATAGATATACAGAAAATCTTGCTTTTACTTTATATGACTTTACAACCTCATAAACACTCTACCAGTCATCTCTAAAATCAGTTCAATTCCAGTCTTTCTGCCACCATCTCGAGGTAATATTAAAGTAAAACTAGCCTGTGATCCCGCCAAGCTGACATTGCCTATTAGCCCAGTCATAATAAAACCACGTTAATTTCAACCCAACTGTCGAAAAATTCCATCTCGGCTGGAACCTAAACCCGATTCAAAACACTTGAAATCCACTCCACATGTAAACCATCTTCCAATCCCTCCAAAGGAAAGCCTATGTCATAAACCTATAATCTAAAATCTTCGATTATTATTAAAGTAAAACCTATATTTAAAGCATGCACCATCTTAAGTCTCATCAGAAAAAATCTAACACAGCTGGTACCGAAATCAAATTAAAAACTTTAAACTCACTCCACCTGTCACCATCTTCCAATCCTAACAAAGCAATACCTATCTTAAACCCACGCCAACGAGGCAGTCTCTATCACTCTAGCACAAAAGCACTAATCCCATTCCACCTGTCATCTCCAAATCCCTTCAAAATAAAACCTGTACTATAAACCCAAGTTTGAAATCTACATCTTTCACCATCTTCGAATCCTATCAAAGCAAAACTTATATTTTAAATCCTCGCCATTTGTCCCCGTCGAATCCCATCAAGAAATCCAAATTACCTGCATTTTAAACTCGCACCACTTGTCAGCATCTTCGTATCCTATCAAAGCAAAACCAGTATAACAAACCAACTTTTAAATCCGCACCATCTGACAATCTCGTTTGAAAATCCCGCGCTGGGACGGCCGAAAGATGGCCTTCGCGTCGACACCTTCAGTCGCCATTACACTCGTGTGAGAGGAAGGTCGTGCTGGTCGTCTTGTCGTTTCTTCTGCGTCGTACAGTGAGTAACAAACGACGTATGGTATTGGTAATGGGTTACCAAAGTGTGTTAGGAGTAGTGCATGATCGTGAGAGAATGGTTTATTTGTGGGTTTTGTGGGAGGTTCGGGGAGGTTAAATATGGCCGTAGGGAGAGAGAGAGAGACGAGAGAGGAACGTCACTTTGCGATGGCCTTCTAAAAATATATTTGATTAACTGAAAAGAAATAGGAGAACTATAGCAGAAAATAGAAATGTAAAAACATGAAGAAATACATAAATAAAACAGATTGCACCATCTGTTTCTATTATGTTGACCAGGAAGTGAATGGGTCTGTCTCACTCTCTCTTTATCTCTTTTTATCTCTTTTACACGAATAAATGTCAAGATGATTAAGGAACACCTCAGGAAGGATGGGTTTCGATTTTCATTTCCTTGATTTAGTTTTTTAGATTTTCATTTCGGATTTTTTAGATCTATTTTCCCCCCATTTTCTGTCTCTCGTGCCTTTGTGTGGTTGCTTATTTTCTCGTTCTTAAGTTCTTTTTTTCTTCTTGTATTGCAATAGATCTTGTAAATAATAACCTTGGACTACACCTTCTTCTACTTCTCTGTCTCTTATTTTATGTTGAACAAATGATGAACACTGTACAACATAAACCCTCGCCTTGTTGTTGTAGTGATTACGTATTCCTTCCAAAACAAAAACAAAGCAAGTAAACAAAAAGAAAGATAACTCCCCCCTTTACCAGATTCACAAAGAAGAGAACACAAATTCCCCAAATGATAGTAGTAGTAATAATGAAAAACAAGATGGAATAATCACTGTAATAATGAATAATACTTATTCAACCTTGCATGCTGTTCCCCTTCCTGTGTTAATGTTTACAAGTCACTGATCTTGTCATTGAGTCATCAACCTCTCTGCTTTGGCTGCCGTTTGTGATATTATTAGATTTGTTATTTTGTTTAGCGCTTTGTATTATAATTGTTGGAATTGTTCTTATTTAGATTGTATGATTATTGGCATTATTATTGTTAGTATTTTAATTTGGCATGTTCTTTTATATTAATGACTGGATATTTTTGTTATATTTTTAATTATTGGATATTTGTTTATTTTTATCAGTCATCATCATTATTAATCAATATCATCATTAATCATCATCATCATCATCATCAATAATTATCAATCATCATCAATCATCATCAATTATCATCATCATCATCATCATCATAATCATCATAATCATCATCATCATCATCACCATCATCAGTTATCATCAGAATTTTTTTGTGGATTGTCATAATTGAAAAGATAACATTATTATTATTTTTGTTATTATTATTATTAGTAGTAGTAATAGTAGTTGTTGTAGTATTGCAATCATTATTTTTTGTTATTACTACCATTGGTTATTATTATTTTTATTATTATTATTATTATTATTATTATTATTATTATTATTATTATTATTATTATTATTATTATTATTATTATTATTATTATTATTATTATTATTATTATTGCTATTATTATTATTACTTATTACTACCTTTATTATTATTATTGATTATTATTATTATTATTATTTATTATTATTATTATTATTATTATTATTATTATTATTATTATTATTATTTATTATATTATATTATATTTATTATTATTTATTTATTATTACTATTATTACTATTATTACTATTATCACTATTATTACTATCATCACTATATCATCATCATCATCATCATCATCATCATCGTCATCGCTACTCATTGTTTATTATTGCTGCTATTGCAATATGTTTTTATTTTTATTATTGCAATTCTTATTATTGTTGTTGTTCTTATTGCCGTTATCTTTTAATTGTGGTTGTTACCAACTCAGCATTGTTAGTGTATATATTTCTTTTTGCCATTACTATTATTATTATCATTATTTATTATTTTAATTTTATTTTTATTATATTATTATTATTATTATTATTATTATTATTATTATTATTATTATTATTATTATTATTATTTTTTATTATGTTATTGCTATTGCTATTATTATCATTATTATTACTATATATATGCATATTTTTTTATAGTTATTATCGTTATTAACATTATTGTTATTATTATCATTATTAACATTTTTGTTGTTATTATTATCATTATTAACATTGTTGTTGTTATTATTATCATGATTAACATTATTGTTATTATTATTTTTATTGTTGTTATTACTCATTATTATTATTATTATTATTATTGTCAGTTATTATTATTATTATTATTATTATTATTATTATTTTATTATTTTATTATTATTATTATTATTATTATTACTAGTATTATTAATTTTTTGTTTCATATAAGAGGATTTCATACATCTTTTTTTATTCCAATCATTTATGGTGGAATATGTGTGATTCTGTTATTTTTGGTAACAAATTTCTGGAAATTGGAAATTGTTTGCAAAATGACCTCACTCTGAGACTCAGGGCATTTTAAGCAGGGAAGTTTCTTGCCTAAAATCTCAAGACTTTTCTTGCTCTCTCAAACGACCCCCATAGATGGCTAGATTTTCCCTTGCTAAGTCAAGCATTGCAACAGCATTGTTTGTGTACTCTACTGGTTACAATCCTGTGAGTGCAGGTGTTGGCCAAAAACTTTGCTTAATATCTTATGAGAGAAATTAGTTTTTTTTGTTTGTTTCTGTAATTTTCATAACATTATTCAAAGAAAGGAGGTAATGGAGATTATGGGTAGAAAAAGTTTTGTTCTTATAAATTATAAGACAAACAATTTATCTCTTACTTTTAAACTCTTCATCTCTCAGAATCATAGATTAATTGTTTAATAAGTTTGTTGTGGAAGATATCTGAGTTTAAGTGTAGAATTTTTCAGGTTTGACATTTAATAGAGCCGTTTGTACGGATTAGCAGCTCTGCTCAGACTCTAGCAGTCGTGTTAAGCAGCGAATGGTGCAGTTCTTAGCCTCGGAGCAAGAATTCTTGACCAAGTGAACCCCTGCATAAAATGCCCTAAGTACCTATTACTCCAGAAAACAAGTATAGGGGCTCTTCTGGGAATCCACAGAAAGTGCTGTATGAGCCAAAATCCTTCATTGCATATACCTACCCAATCACTGTGGACTTAATCACAATGCGGCATTTGTCACAACCTGTTACTGATTTTATTCTTTGTCTTCCCAGAGTATTTCATGTATCAGCGAGTGTTGTCCCCCCCCCCCCTCAATGATAGTGTCATCAGATTTTCCCTATCTTAGTGGGGTCATTATGTAAATGTATACTTACGCGTTGCAAAACTTAATTTTATCAGCTTGCAAAGGAAATGCTGTAGATGGAAAGTGTCTTGAATTTTGTTGTTCCGTACCTTACTAGTAGAGTTTACCTTCTTCCATATGGCTGTGTGATACTGAACTATACCTTTTATTATTATTTCTTATTATAATTATTATAGTTATATTATTATTATTATTGTTATTATTACTATTATTTTATTTTTTAATATTGTTATTGTTTTATTATTATTATTATTATTATTATTATTATTATTATTATTATTATTATTATTGTTATTATTGTTGTTATTATTGTTATTGTTATGAATTATTATTAATTGTTATTGTTATTGATATTATTGGTATTAATGTTAATATTTATTTTAAAATTAAAGTTGAAATTGAAAATTATATTAGAATTGTAATTAGAATTAAAATTTCTTTTTCTAAAGTTTCTATAAACAAGGAAAAGGATGAACAGGTGAGATAGGTAGGACAAGTAATTAGCTTCTTGGTGACTCATGTTCTTATTCAGAGATACTTAGGACACTTTAAACAGAGAGCCGGACTGGCACCTCATGCCTGTCAGCCAATTACAGTTGGCTGCAGTGCAAGAAACCTCAAAAACAATTGGCTGACGGGCATGAGGTGCCAGACCTGCTCTCTCTTTAGGGTGTCCAAAGATTCTTTGAGTGTTATTGTAAGTGTTGTTAAGCCATCTGTGTCTATACACAGTAACAAAACTAAAATCACAGTGGGCATGCTATCCCATCACAAACGTTAATGTTGTTGTCTTCATCATCATCGTTATTGTCATTGTCATCATTGTCATGATGATGATCATCATTGTTGTCATCATCATCGTCATCATCATCATCGCCATTATCATGATAATCATCATCATCATTATTTAATTAATATTATTAATGCTATTATTGTTGTTATTGTTATTTTTAGTATTATTAATGATAATTTAATATTAATGATATTATTGTTTGTTGTTATTTTTTTAATAATAGTCAATAATAGTATTATTCTTGCTGTTGTTATCATTATTATCATTGTTGTTATTATTATTGATAATAGTCCAATAATGATAATGATATTAATGTTTTTGTTCATACTGCCATCATTATTATTATTATTATTATTATTATTATTATTATTATTATTATTATTATTATTATTATTATTATTATTATTATTATTATTATTATTGTTAATATTAGTGTTAGTATTGTTATCAGTATTATTATTATTATTGTTACTATTATTATTATCATTATCATTATTATCATCATTATTATCTTTTGTTCACTATCATCTCATCATCATCATCATCATCATCATCATCATCATCATCATCATCATCCATCTATCTTACATCTTACATTATTATTGTTGTTATTATTGTTATTGTTATTATTATTATTATTTATTGTTGTTGTTGTTGTTATTATTATTACATTTGTATTACTCCTACTGGTTGTTATTGTTTATATTATTATTATTATTATTATTATTATTATTATTATTATTATTATTATATTATTATTATTATTATTTCCATTACTATTTTTGGTTATTATAATTATTATTATTACTATTTTTTTGTTTTTTTTTTTTGTTGTATTTTTTTGTTTTGTTTTGTTATTATTACTGTTTTTTATTATTATTAATTTTATTATTACTATTATTATTTGCATGATTATTTAGATATATTCA